CACTAACATCACAATACTCATCAAAACTTGAGGGATCTCACACACTACAAGTTCCCTGGTCTTATCTCAGCCTTCCTTGATTCGAGTACGGATCCTCTGCTTTCAGTAGTACGGGCCCATACGACCTTCCACATCTATCCGTACTTTCCTCAAGAACTGCCTTGACTCCAACAAGACCCTTCTACTGCTACTGCTCTCTGCTACTCTCATCCTAGGCATGCCCTAGGGTAATCACCATCCCGCTCTCCGCCATCAGTTGCATCCGAAGTCCATGCTTTCTTCCCCTAGCTAGCTCGCGAATACTATTACACATCACTCAGACTAGATAATTCTTCGAATGAGAGATCCTACCCTACAACGGTTGGACTCAAACAATAGCTGCGAAATAGGGCTAGACCTAACCTTCTGAAATTATTTAGTCCTTGCAATATGTAACTTAACATATTCGTTTACTAGTTAGTAAAAAATAACTAGAACTCCTAAAAGCACAAAGCAAGCAGCATTCGAGCATTGAGTGCATAAAATCAAGCATATACTAATCAGGCTATCATACTGACTAATCTGTACTAGCATACAGCTCATAGAGCTGAGATACATATAACAGGCATATAAGGCATCCTTCCTAGATCCTTAGTCCTAACTAGCATGCAATTCTTATAAAGCTGATACACATATAATAGGCACATAAGGCATCCTTCCTAGATCCTTAGTCCTAAAATAGCATGCAATCCTCATAAGGTGATAAACATAACATAACATAAACTAGCATGCAATCCTCATAAGCTGATAAACATAACATAACATACTTGAGCTCGGCTGATTGCATGCACCACACCCTTTTCTCTTTTTCAAAATACTTTTTGCTTTTTCTAAAATTGTTTTCTTTTCTCAAAATCCTTTTTGTAAGCACGATTTTTCTTTTGAAAACTTTATACCACTTCCTTAGTTTGAGTTTAGACACACCCGAAAGTGTGCCCGAATCCATCAGACCAAGGCTCCTGATACCAACTTGAAACATACCAAAAACACTGTCCAAAAATTTCGTTTTAAATCACTAATAAAACCATAATTATCTTTCAACATATAAAATCATAAATCGTATATCTCAAAACATAATAACATCTGTCAAATATATCAGAGTATAAACAACCTAGGCTGAACAAATGGTGTGTGCACTACAATCTTCCCGAGCTCCTCTTTTGAAAACTTAAGCACCTGAAACCAAAACTGAAAACCGTAAGCACAAAGCTTAGTGAGCTCCCCCAACTACCACATACCATACACATAACATATAACAATCACATAGCTCTGGGACTATTCCTAACTGCATCGGGACGAATCCCGGCATCGGCTTACCCGACATCGGACTCCTGCCCGACATCGGGCTCACCCCGGCATCCGACCGCATCGGGCATCGGGCTCACCCCGACATCGGGCTTGCCCCAGCATCGGGCTTACCCCGGCACAAACACAGAATAATATATATCATAAACACATAACATAATCACATGATCTGCATCGGGCTTGCCCGACATCGGACCGAAGCCCGAAACATATAATCATAACATATAAACTAGCATACATCGGGTTTGCCCCAAAACATATAATGTATGACATAATAACTAACATACATCGGGCTTTCCCCGACATTGGGCTTACCCCGGAACACTTAACACATAACATATAACATAATCGCATATACTGCATCGGGCTTGCCCGACATCGGACCGGACTCCAGAACATATAACACATAACCTAACATAACATAACATGCATGAATCACAAAGACATCAGGCATACATAACTGCTTCCCGGGACCGCCCCGGCATCGGACCGAAGTCCGGAACATATAAACTGCATCGGGCTAACCCCCGACATTGGATCGAAATCCGGAACTACTATCATCTAAACGGGCCGACATTGTGGCCGTAGGCCCGTTCCTAAAGGAGGAAACTCACCTTGTACTGCTGAAGCTCTTGCTGATACCCTTCTGACTGCTATCTGGCAACTCCCCGAATCGCTGCTCCTCTAGCTCCCCGAGCTACCAATACCAATATAACACTTAGTCCCAGAATGCCCTCCAGGAGTCAAACTAAGTCAACTCTGGCCAATGAAAAAGTCATGCTCAAGGTCAAAGTCCTGGTTAAAGTCAACCTTCCAGGTTGACCCTACTCGCCGAGTTCATAAACTCAGAAACCCTACAACTCGCGACTCGACTCGCCGAGTCACCCCATGACTCGTCGAGTCCTTTCAACCTTCGAGTCCTAGTCCTGTCCGACCCACTGAGTCACCACCTCGACTTACTGATTCGACTCACATCCAGAAGAGATTAGGGTTTGTGACCCGAATCACCGAGTCCATGAATCGACTCGCCGAGTCCTCTTTGTGTCATCTCCATTTAGTCGATTACAATCATTCCAACACTTCCAACTCATAGATCTGGACTCCTAAGGCTAGCATCACACGTAAAGTTGCTAACTTTATGTTCATGCAAGGTGCTACAAAGCTAGAACACTTAATCCAAGCCAAGATGAAGGTCTAAGCCATAAAATGGAGCCCTAACAGGATAATGCTGGCAACCCTGAGCTTCTCAAGCTCAAGAGTGCCCAGATCTCTGCTTGGGACGTCCTTGTCCCAAAGGTCAAGCTCCATGGACCATAACTCTCATAAAAGGGACATAAGGAGATCTAAGAAACCATAGGTCAAGGTAGGAACTTGATTACTAGAAAATTATGAGGATGAGGAGCTACTTCTGGATCTACAACTTCTCCTTAAGTCCTCCAACTCATTCTCCTTCTTCTAGTCTTCAAGAGCTTCTAAAATTACTCACAAATGGCTCACAAACTCAAGGAGAACACTAGGGTTTCGGGGGTTAGGTTCTGGACAGTGGAGGCTACAAATGGGGCTGAGGGGAGGGGAATGAGTTCCTTAAATAGGGCACAAGGACCCGATTTTAGGGTTTCCCAACCCAGACCAGACTCGCCGAGTCAGTCCCCCGACTCGCCGAGTCGGCCACTTAATCCGCGACATGGAACTCGCTCCGACTCGTCGAGTTCTTCCTTGGACTCGACGAGTTGACTCATTGACTTAGGGTTTTTCCTTTCCTTTCTTGACCTTCTGAATTTGGGGTGTTACACCAACTCTATTGTAGTTTGGAATGTTTGGTTTTTTAATCCGTTGTAATTGTTATTTTTTCAACATTCTAGTAACTTGCTAGAATATTTAATATATGAAGATGTAACTGTTCTCATTAAAATATATTAATAAGTAATGCTGTGGGAGCTTTTCCAACACCAATTTGATCAAGGTTAACCTCCATCCGAAAGAAAGTTTTTTCTCTCTCCAATGGCTTAACCTACATTTAAATTTCTTAACAACCGATTCTAAATTCTTAGCTAATTTCATTTTGGCACCAATTGGAACGCTAAGGTAAATGAATGGAAATGAGGCATGCCTATATTTAAGAAAATTGGCCATACAAAGTATATCACCATTTTCGACAACAACTCCATATATCTTGCTTTTGTGTAGGTTTACTTTTAGCCCGGATGCCACATGAAACATCGAAGCAATCTTTTGAGGTTCAAAATACTAACCATGCCTTCTCCTATAAAGGTTACCTCATTGGTATACAATAGGTATGATTTGTGAAAGTGTCGGACCATTCAAAGGAAGGTAATACCTTTGAAGATGTGAACATCATAAGCCGTTTTCATACGAACACACTTAAAGCTTCCATTATAATGATGAATAGAAAAAGGAAACCGGATCACCTTGAGTCACTTCTTTCTTGATATTGAACTCCTATGCTATGCTGGTGAGTGAGCTATTCACAAGTATTGATGCTCTCGCGAAGGTTAAACATCCCATAATCTAGTCTCACCATTTATCACCAAAGTTCATTTGTTTCGTAATATATTTGGTCATGAAACTTTTTGAGACCTAATGTCATTTAATTTCAAATTTGTATCCATTGTCATCCCTTACCATATGTTACCGATCCTTAGCAACTTTTGAAAAAAAAATTGGCTCAAATTTTATTTTTTGTCATGAATTTTGTCCTTTTTTTAATAAATTCGCCCTAACTTCTTTTTTTATAAAAATTGTTTATGATAAAACATTTCAATAATAAAATTTTCACTAAAAATTTCAAAGATTTGAATTTATAAGAAAAATCAACAATGACATTAGCATCACAAAAAACATGAGTTTACTTTATATTTGTTTTAATATATGGGTTGCACAACTATCCACTACGATTTCCCCGATCGGCAAGGATACGAGGGAGGGGGCTCACCTATGGTGAAATGCTAGCACGTCACAACATTATCTTTCTTATGATCACCCCTAATTAAAGCCTCCAAGATTAGAACTTAGGAACTCTCATATGGGGAATCATTGTCTTTACCAAGTGATCATGGCTAAATGTACATATAATATAAATTACTTCATAAATTTTTTATTTTATTGACACCTACATGAAAATGTATACACATGTTTTGGATTTAGCCGATAATTGGTCCAAAATCCAAATAATACAAATTGGTAAAAAATATAAAACAAAAAATATTAAAAAGAACAAAAAATTTGTAAATATATTGAGACCAAATACGTAATAAAAATAAAATTCTTGCAATTTTATATAATTTTTTTGGCCAAGTATCGTGAAACTATACAAGGCCATATCATATAATGGATACAAATACAGCAGCATTTAATGATTTTGGGTCTCAAAGAAAATATAGTGATCAAATAAATACATAGCAAATAGTTGTTTAGAAAATTTCAACATGAACCTAATTCATTATTATAAAATTAATTCAAGACATTGTAGTCCAAGTTTGGATAACAAAACACCCCCTTAATAATAATACATTAATACTTAGCTGTCGATGATAGGTTTTCTAACTAAAACAAAATAACATACGCATGACTTTATGACCCTACCTTTATGGGGTCCATAGTCCCATTTGCTATATTAACCCCAAAATAACATACGCATGTTTATTTCCTCAAACACAAATTTTGCAGCAATGGATGCAGAACCAAAACCATCTAAAGGTGGCTGGATCACCTTCCCTTTTCTTATAGGTATATGTTCTTCTTCTTTTGTTTAACTTCTAGTTTTAAATCCAAGTCTCTTTAATTAAAATCATAACACAAAACCATTTTTTGCCATCTAAATATAGCAACCATGGCTGGTTTGACTCTAGCAGCGGGAGGATGGGCAAATAATATTATCGTGTACCTAATCAATGAATTTAACATCAAAAGCATCGATGCTGCTCAAATTGCAAACATAGTCAATGGTTGCACCACCCTATTCCCAATCTTAGGAGCCATACTCGCGGACTCATTTTTTGGCTCATTCTCAATAATTTCGGTTTCATCTCTTATATCTTTGGCGGGCATACTGCTACTAACCCTAACTGCAACACTCGACTCGTTAAAGCCCGCACCATGTGAAAACGGGTCGAACCTTTGCATGGACCCATCAAAAAGTCAACTCGCGATACTGTACATGAGCCTAGCTCTTTCGAGCATTGGGCTCGCAGGTACACGATTCACGTTAGCAACAATGGGAGCAGATCAATTCGATAACCCTAAAGATCAAGGGGTTTTCTTCAATTGGCACTTTTTTACTATGTATGCCGGGACACTTGTTAGTGTTGTGGGGATTATTTATGTTGAAGACAATGTGAGTTGGGGATTGGGATACGGTTTATGTGTTGCGGCTAATTTGATTGGTTTAGTGATTTTTGTGGTGGGAAGACGTAATTATCGGCTACTGAAGCCACAAACCAGTCCGTTTACTGGATTGGCTTGTGTTGTGGTTGCAGCTTTCCGTAAAAGGAAAGTTTTGTTGTCACTTAAGAGTGAGGATTATTGTCAAGAGCAACGAGATGGAGGAACAAAATCGGTTAGAACAACCCCAACAAATAGCTTCAAGTAAGTTTCTACAAGTTTATTTATTTATTTAATAATGAAATATGAAAATGTATATAGATGAAGACAAATTAAGATTCATGATTCTCCTAACAATAATTTTTGTTTTTGAAAAAACATGATCATAACTAACATACAAAAGTCCAAAGTTATATTGGTAATATTTATTTATTACACGGAAGTTCGTTGTTTGATGATATTTGGTAAATTGTTACGTTATACCAATAAAAAGATGACAAAAATTACTCTATCATATATTGTTTCGTAAAGCTTTAAATAAACCCAATTGAGCATTTAAATTGTATATTATAGCCTTTTAAATATTCAAATACTATAATTTATTTGATACACATACTTTTAAAAGTTTTTTTTTTGTCATCTAATAATTTGGTGTGATGAACATTTCCGAATGAAGCCAACTTAACTTTGTAACTTTTAGTGGGTAATAATAAAGAAATAGCAAGTTGAACCCACCAACCAATTTCCCAAATATGGTAATCAAGAAAGACCAACAAAGTAGTAAGCCTACCTACCAATGATTAATTATCGGAAAGCTTATTCATTTTGTTTCAATTAAATTATATTGTTCTAATTTCAATCAATTAATCTAATATAAATCTTCCATAAACTTTTTTACGCTTTAAAAAAGTATTATTCTCTTGGTCTTTTGGATCAAAATTTATTTTTCACAGTTGTTGATTTTGTTATTAAGCAATCTAATATAACTAACATGGTCATAAAAGAAATAAATGTTTAACTAATAATCTTGTTGATCTTTATACTAATCATAAAAATATAATGCCAATTTTATCTAGTTTTACACGCAACATCAACACAATATGTTTTGGTATTTAACGGGACATTAAAAATAAGAATCCTCCTCTCATTAATATCACAGAAATTGAAAGACAACTTAATAAAAATAATATAATATCCAAAGTTCTTACAAAATAAATTACATAATACTTAAATGTCTTTCAAGTATCTTGTAGATAATGTTTAAAAGGACATATCAATGGTACATGAATCAGTGTCACCTTTATATTTTCCGGTTTTAGGCATCATGATAAGTGAGAGATACTTGGCATTAAAGCAAAGCATGTATGAATGATTAGTGCATATGTAACTCAAGATGCACATCACAATTATTGCATAATGCAGGAGTGCGAGGGTGGACCAAATTTCCAAAACCAAACAATCAAATGCAATCAGAAGTCAGAACTTAAAACGAAACCCATGCATGTCTTTCGATTCTATATTTTTTCAATGTTCTTCTTCAATTTTTTAAACTTAAATTTATATCCGGTCTTATCTTGTTCAATAACGAAATCATATGAGAAAAAGTCTTTCATATATTAAAAATGTAACTTACAAATTCGCGGAGTAGATGGACATTTTGTAATAACATTGAAAATGTGGTAATTATTGATATACTAAGTACTAATCTTCGAAATATGCTAATTAATGATTAAAAATGAAACAGGTTCCTAAACCATGCAGCTCTAATAACCCAAGGGGACACCATCAACAAACCATGGAACCTATGTACACTACAACAAGTCGAAGATCTGAAAACCCTAATCAGAATCTCCCCACTCTGGTCAACTGGTATTCTCTTATGCACCCCTATAGCCATCCAAATGAGCGTGATAGTCCTCCAAGCTCTAGCCATGGATCGTCACTTGGGTCCCACTTTCCAAATTTCAGCAGGAACCATGATGGTCTTCGTTATGCTTTCAACTTCCATCTCTCTCGCCCTCATCGACCGTTTCCTTCTTCCCACATACCAAAAACTTACAAACACCTCCCTCACACCCCTACAACGCATAGGGGTGGGCCATGCTCTGACTGTGTCAAGCATGGCCATTTCTGCACTGGTTGAGTCAAAACGGCTTGCTATGGCTCGATCACATGACATACACGGGAATTCGGTCGTGCCAATGTCCGTGTTTTGGATGGTTCCACAGCTTGTGGTTGTTGGTGTTGGTGAAGCATTTCATTTCCCGGGTAATGTGTCGTTGTATTACCAAGAGTTTCCTAAGTCGATGAAGAGCACAGCTGCTGCAATGGTGGCCATGTTTATTGGAATAGCGTTTTATTTGGGGACTGCGGTGGTTGGGTTTATGAGGAAGACAACGGGGTGGTTACCTGATGGGATTAATGATGGGAGGATGGATAATGTGTATTGGGTGCTGACTATTCTTGGGTTGATCAACTTTGGATATTACATTGTATGTTCATGGTTGTACGAATACCAAAATGTCGAAAAGATGGGAATCTCAAGTTCAAGTCCTTGCTAAGTAATCATATATATACATAATGTTATAATAATTAGACATAATAGAAGCGGAAGATAAATTGTGAAGTAAGGAGTTTGATGGTTATATTTGAAATCTCATTACTTGGGATCAATTGCGGATATAAGTTGTATAAACCTTTTACTCATAAGTGCATTATACTTAATTATATGAGAAATAGACTTATTAATGTAATTAATTTTTCAGTTTTTTCACATCTGAATAACTATTTTTCTTTTCTTTACACACGTAGGTAACAAATTTTTTGGAAGTGTTCACATATGACCATTATGACCGGCTGTAGCAGGTTACATCCGGTCATAATGGTCATATGTGAACACTCCCAAAAAGTTTGTTACCTAGATGTGTACAAAAAAAAATAGTTACCCAGATGCGAACATACCGAAAAGGTAAGAGTAAATTACACGAATGGTCCTTGTGGTTTGGGTAATCTGTGCGTTTGGTCCCTAATTTATTTTTTAACTCGGATAATCTCTACTGTTTATTTTTGTTGTGCGTTTGGTCATTGTCTTACCTCAAAAGACTATTGTGTCATTTTTAATTTATTTTTTAATTAATTTTCTTATTTATGTATTTTATATATTAAAAAAAATTAATAGATCTTATATATCTGTATCTCCTCACTCTAAACCTGAAACCACATTTGAGAAATTTAAGTTGAGTCCCACCAATTACCATCACATCTTTCATCCTCTTCAACTTCTATTTCTTTTCTATCTTTAGCATTATTGCAGAAATCAACATTAATCGTGGATTAATCGTTTGACATTCTCCAACCGACTAGGATTAGTGTGTTTGACGGAAATTATGGATTAATCGGTTTTGGCGAGATTAATCGGTCAACAAAAGTAAAAAAAAGTCAAAAAAAGTTTTTAAAAAATTCAAAAAATTAATTTTTTTCACTCCAAAATTTTCAAATTTCCAAATTTCAAAATTTCAAATATTATACCAAAATGTTCATATTTTCGTATTTTCAAACTTTCAAATTACAAATTCTCTTATTTTCTGATTTTGAAATACTTATTTTTCTTAAAATATTAATCTTTGATTAATTTTAATATTTTATTCATAATCTATGGTCCCCGGTTAATCTCCGCCTAGTCCGATTAATCCCTTAACACCAGTCGACCGTCGAACTACCGTCGAACGATTTTTACAATCTTGATCTTTAGTGACGTCGACGTCTTCACCATCCTTTTTTTCGGTCTTTCAACTACAGCGAATCAACACCACAACCCTTCTATTGGGTTGTGATGGTGGAAAATTCAATGAAGAGACAGTGGGTTGTAGTGTTGGTTCGCCAGAGTTGAAGAACCGAAAAAAAAAGGATGGTGAAGACGTCGATGTCACTAAAGATGGAAAGGAAATGGAAGTTGAGGAGAATGAAAGATGGCACGGTAACTGCGGTACCCAACTTAAATTTATCAAATACGGTTTCGGGTTTAGGGTGAGGAGATACAGATATGTGTGGTCTATTAATTTTTTTAAATATATAAAAAATAATCACATAAATAAGAAAATTAATTAAAAAATAAATTAAAAAGAGCACAATAGTTTTTTGAGGCAAGACAGTGACCAAACGCACAACAAAAATAAATAGTAGGGATCATCCGAGTTTAAAAATAAGTTAGGGACCAAACGCACAAATTACCCAAACCACAGGGGCCATTCGTGTAACTTACTCTTACCTTTTCGATTTGTTCACATCTAGATAACTAACTTTTTTGTACACATCTAGGTAACGAACTTGTTGTAAATATTCACATATGACAATTATGACCGGATGTAACCTGCTACAGCCGATTATAATGGTCATATGTGAACACTTCCAAAAAGTTCCTTACCTAAATGTGTATAAAAAAAGATAGTTACTCAAATGTGAACAAACCGAAATTTAATTACCTTAATAAGTCTATTAGGTTATAACCTGTGGAAACCACGGTAGCTTGTTTAAAATTATTATATAAATAAATTGATAAAAATATAATAAATGCCAAAAAAATTTAACGTATTATTGATAGTAAATAATTCTGATTTCTGAATAAATTTGTTACGTAAAACAAACATAATATTTTACTATAAATTTCGAAAATGTTTTTATGAATAAGATTTTGTATTTTCAAAATTTTAATTGAAGTTGATTTGTTACCAAAAAAAGAGAAAATGGTAAAAATCATAGAAAATTGCCACGTGTCAAAAGGGAATGCTAAAAAATGGACATGTGACATTTTTAGGTTTCATTTATTAGAATAAGTAGAAGTAGATTTCCCTTATTATGTAACATCCGGATTTCCAGGTATCATAAATTGAGTGTTTATTTTTGAGTCAAGGAGAGGGACTCGACGAGTTGACGCCTAGACTCATCGAATAGGATCGCGTCTGCTGACTAGGATTAATGAGTGAACTCGACGAGTCGGAGGGTCGAATCGACGAGTCCGCGTTGTGGACTGAAACCCTAAATCTTTGGGTCTGTGCCCTATTTAAGGGTCCTTATGGCCTTCATTTGCGGCCACCCTTTCAGAGAAAAGAACCCTAGCATATTTGAGTGTGTGTAGTGAGAGAGAGAGAGCCATCTTGAACCATTTGTTGTGATTTTGCTAAGGAGGAGAAGTGATCCAGCAAGAAGGACCAAAGGAGGTTGTTGTTCTGAGACTTTCAAGCAAGGAGGCTTCACTTTAAGGTAGCAATTCGGCCCTTTTCTTCCTTATTGTGTAGGTTTCTTGAATCAAGGGTTTCTTTACCCTTTCTTGAGTTGGAATAAGAGCATGAGAGGTCCCAATGTGAAATAGACCTTAGATCTGGACCTTGAGAGGTCCAGAGAGCCCTAAGCATCCAGCTTTATGCAGTCCCTTTTTGGGTTTTGGATCATGGTTGTCATATTAGGGCTAATTCATCAAATAGAGCCATATGAGTGTTGCATGAGCATAAAGTTTGGACCTTTACGTAACTTTTGAGTGTTAGAAGGCCAGATCTATAGGTTAGAGAAACAGATCTGACCTCAGAAGGTCGTTTGAGCATTCTCATGGAAGAAACTCGTCGAGTCCATGAGCGGACTCGACGAGTCGGATCGTGTTGCACCACGATTCGTGATCAGTGGTAACCCGTCGAGAAAAAGGTTAACTCGACGAGTCGAGTGAGGCCTTAGGAGGATTCAGAGGACACGCATGGACTCGCCGAGTCACCCGAGTGCACTCGACGAGTCTGGTCAAAGTTGGACCATTGACTATGGTTGACTTTTAGGGTTTGGTCAACATTTGGACATTGGACCATTGGAGGGGTAAAATGGTCTTTTCCCCTTCTGAGAGAATATAGGGAGGGACTAGTCTAGCCTTTGAGAGTCGTATTAATTAGAGATAATTACTTTATGTGATTAGGCGGAGGCTAGATCAGATATTCGAGTTCGAGACTTTCCGAGATTACCCGAGGTGAGTCTTCTCACTATACATTACCTAGAGTGGTAACTATGTGCAGACCGGAGGGTCTTATGTGTTATGTGTATGTTGAGTTTATGTGTATTGTGATATATGTATGCTATGTGTTATATAGACCGGACCAGAGGGTCCTACGATTTAGACCGGACCAGAGGGTCCAACGATTTAGACCGGACCAGAGGGTCCAACGAGCTAGACCGGACTGGAGGGTCCAACGAGCTACGGGACTGGAGGGTCCCGCCGAGACACATTGACCGGAGGGTCATACCGAGTCATAGCCTCGAGTGGCTTAAGTGTTGTATGTGGTATTTTGGGGAACTCACTAAGCATTTATGCTTACCGTGTTATGTGATATGTGTTTCAGGTACCAGCGAGGATTGCGGGAAGACGCCGGCATGATTTGTACACACTGGCAGATGATTATGTTTGAGATTCTGGGATATGTTTTATTATGATGACATTTGATACATGAGATTTCGAGAATATTATATGAGTTTTATTATGTTGAAAAATGAAAAATTGTTTTAAAATTTACGTCGTTACATATTATATTTACCAAGAGACACAGAAGTTGACAGATAAGTGTCCCTCATCTAAAGATCGAGGGTTTAAATCTCGTTGCGGACGAAAGGTGTATATAACAAATATATTTAAAAAAAGTAACAAAAATAAAATAACATTACAACTTTGAACTAAATTTCATAAAATAAAAAATGAAACATATCATGTTCTAAGGTAGATTAGAACATATAATCAAAAAATATATCTAATCAAAAATTAAATATATCAAGACTGATTTGTGACCGTATATACATATAATCAATGGAAAAGAAAAACCCATCAAAATATATATAATCATTGGAAAAGAAAAAACCCATCAAAATATATACAGGGGGTGTTGGTGTTAATATACAATTGTCATTGCGAAATTTATATTCAAGAACGAACTTATGTATGTAAAAAATGAAGCTCAAGATTTGCTATTTTTTACTTATGTCCCAAGCTGCATATTCAGGGCTTCATTCCACATATCTGCATTATGCATTATGTAGGCTGCATTCAAGTCCACATAGACATGAAAAATATTACTAATCATTTATGCAAGGCTGTACTAACAAAATAAAAATGCTTAACTCGATGAATGTTAATAATAACTTGTTATTTATTTGTTTTTTTTGGAAACGGCATCTTATTTATTTGTGGATTTAAAAACATGTTGTGCAACAAAGCCCACTTGTTATTATGTAAACTAAGAGGCAAATGAGTACATTAATTGGTGCCACTACGGCAGAAGTAGAGTGTGCATTGTTGCATATGAGTAGCCTTCAAAAAAAAGTTATTACCATTTCAATATATCAAATGAGACAAACCTGAAAATTTATATTGTTCGATTGAAAAGTGAAATTCCAGTCTACCCCGGCAGGTAAAGCTTGTCTCCTTTCCTTAATAGCTATAATCCCCAAACGGTCAAAAGTATCCTAAGAAGAGCCAAATTATGGAAAGCCCAACCGCAATTAACTTAAGATTTAGAATCTGAAAAAAAATGAGCAAACTTATTCCAAATTCAACATCGACAAGCTTGTAATACCCCCTTAATAAGTTACTTGATGTCCATAGTTCTGATGACTTGACATTATTGACATACATATGGTATGACCCTACCTTTATGGGGTCCATTGTCCCGTTTT